TGATGCGATAAGAGCGGCAAAATAGCTAGTTTTCGCCGCTTTTATCACCACTATGTAGGTCTTAATATGAGACCTCACCAGTGTTCGGTCAGATTCGGAGCGGCTGGTCCTCCAACTACTCTCCAGGCGTCTTTTCCGGCGCTTCATCTCCCTAAGCTCCTCGGAGAACCAAGGAGCTAGGTGAGTTCGGTGCCGGGTCAGAGGCCGCAAAGGCACGACTCGGTCCAAGGCCCCGGCAGCCGCACTATCCCAGGCGGCCACCAGGTCTTCAGTCGAGTCATGAGCCAGAATCTCAGGAAATGGCCCAAGCTCCATCTGGAACCTATCAGGGTCCATCAGGCGCCTGGGGCGGAACCCCCTGGTCGGTCCCGCCTCCCTGCGGCGGGGTGTAGCGGTTAGAAAGTCCAGTCGAAGGAGCGAGTGGTCAGACCATGACAAGGGTTCAATGGCTATATCCCCTGTATCAAGGCCACTCAACCACTGACCAGAGACAAAAACTAAGTCCAGAGTGTGTCCCCCTGTGTGAGTGGGGTCATGAATTAACTGAGTAAGGTCCATGGCCATCATGGAAGCCATGAACTCTCGAGCCACTTCAGACGTTTCACCGATAGATGGCAGGTTGAAATCCCCCATGATGACAAGTCTGGGGGTGTCCACCGCCACCTCGGCTATAACGTTAAGCAGCTCGGGCAGGGCCGTTGCCACGTGGCAGGGAGCCAGGTACGTGACCAACAAGCCCATCTGTACTCCACGACCCCACTTCACAAAGAGGGACTCACATCCGGCTATCTGTGGAACAGTGGTCTCCCTTGGATCCAGACCTTCCTTTATAATAACCGCCACCCCCCTGCCCCTGCCCTGAGCCCTCGGCTGATGAAATGCACGGAAGCCTGGTGGGCATATATCCACGAGGGGGACTCCCCCCTCCTGGCCCAACCAGGTCTCCGTAATGCCCACCAGGTCCGCCTTCCCCTCCTGAATAAGATCGTGAATGAGGGGGGCTTTATTAACAACGGACCTGGCGTTGCATAACATCAGCCGAAGGCTCTGGCCCTGAGAATCTGGACAACCTGGGGAACGAGAAAAGCATTGGGGACCGGAGTGTGCAATCACTCTAAGATAGCGAGTGCGCATTCCCTGAACATGATGTGGTCCCCAGCTTCCGCCATATCTGCCCCTCCCACTCACTATACTGATGGGACAGCCCTCTTTAAATCGAACTCCAACCCCCTCCCCGACCTCCGGTTCTACGTCCCTAGTGTCGTAGCCCTTCGCTGAGGCTGGTCTTGAACCTGGTGGATTTCCTCCAAAACCCACCCTAATCCCGCCCGAACCCCTTAAAATTTTTGTTAAAAACCCACTAAAAAACCCACTTAAAAAACCCCTCAAACTCTTCTTTGCCGCATGCCATCTCTCGGGGCTCCAACGCCCGTCATCAAGATAGGCCCTCGATAACGAAGAGGGCCAGACCTGCGAGAGGGGGGAATCTCGCAGGGCATGAAGGTCATTCACCGAGTACATCTGAACATCAAAGGGAGGTGATAGTCCATGGCCAATAGCCAGGGGCCAATTTGATGTTATCACAGTCAGAAGGAGTGAAATGCCGGACTTCAATAGAGTTCCAATGGAGCATGTGGGACTTCATTGCCCTCTCACGGCAATGGTGGGAGTAAAATGCTGTCTCAATCCGGCAGAGGGTGACTCAGCCCCCCTCTCACGGCGGCTGGTCAACCACGATCATCCAAAAAGCCTGAATTGAGACAGCAGCTATAGACCCACTCCACCAGGACTTGAATCCCCAGATGTAAACCTCCATTCAATGGAGGGAAGAATGGGATCATGTCAGTCCACATAGTCCAAGCAGGCTCAAACAGCGGAGATCATAACCGTCATTAACTTCGGGGAGGTCAAGATGGCATCTAGACCCGGAGATGATTGTTCAGCAGGCATACGCAGCATGGCATCACCACATTCAGGGGGATGGGGGTGAAAAAGGAGAGCAGAGGCAACAAACGCCACAGGGGGAGAACCCCTCAGTCATAGTCCAGCTCTCCCCAACCCCTCCCAGATCTTCCTTGTGACCATGCTGCTTGCCTCGCCCAGCCTCCATAAATCCTCATGGAGGTCTCTGGGACGACCAAGGGGCCAAACAATGCCCACGGTCACCCAGGAGATCCAACACAGCAAGCGAGCAACTGCCAACCTCTCCGACGCTCCCACACTCCAAACTGTGGCGGCTTCTTCCTTGTCCTGGCGGCCGTCATTTTCACGCCGCCAGCATCGCCGCCGCCAGCCTCTCCGCCCTCACCTCGCCCCCCCCTCCACTCCTAGCACATGTCCAGGGCGGATTAGGCTGGCGAGGATCCCGGCGAGGGTGCCGCACCGCCGCCACCGCGGCGGCGCTGACGCCGTCATCCTGGCTCTGCCGCCTTCGCATGGAAAGTCTGCCGCCGCCCCTCCTCCTTCGGGCCGCTCTCGCCGTCCTACGGTCTCCGCGAGCCTCAAGGACACTCTGAGAAGCCAGAGACCCCTCAACAGAGAGCCCCGACACTCCTCCAGCTGGGCCAGGGCTGCAACGATCGAAACTCAGCCCTCCAAAGGCCCCCTGGAGCCATAATCACTCCCCAGGATCACCAGGATCATAGGGAAGTCGCCATCTTGCACATGCGTAGAAGTGGGAACGGCCGATGTAAAAGTGAGGAAAATTGCAAGTGAAGATGCCAATCAAAAAGCAATATGGAAATATCTTACATAACAGTTTTATTAGTTTTTGTCTGGCAATATATAATAGTTTTTCATTAATATTTTAAAACTCTTACAACAAAATCTAGTTTTGTATACCTGTTTCATTGTTCTTATTTAAGTATTAAATGCATGAAATAAGGCAAGGTGAGGAGGGGATGGGAGGGGATGGGCGAGAAGAGTCCAGGCGAGGCGAGGCGTCCCTCAACATGAGTGATGTCAAGTTGGCCACACTCACCCATTCACATGACCACCCAGCCATGCCTACCCAGCCGGTCATTAGGGTAGAGAACTGATTGTTAATTTATATGAATCCCAAAATAGTAGGAAAGTAGAGAATAGTGACGTTAATCCCTGGAGACCATCTGGAGAAGTCCCTGCAATTTTCTTGAAAAGATTTGAGAAATGGTTTGCCACTGTGTCCTTCCTATGACTGGGAGAGGGTGACTGGCCAAGATCACTCATCTGGCTTTGTGCCTTAGGCAGGACTAGAGCTCGCAGTCTCTTGGATTCTAGTCTGTTGCCATAGGCACCTCACTGCACTGGGTCTCTTTCCATGTGCTATGTGCAATTCCTTTATTAGGGCGAACCTTGAGCTGTCCTGTGAACTAATGAGGAGGTTTCCATTCTTTGCTTTAAATGGAATTGCAGGGGGCTTTGGAGGGGAAGGGGTAAGCAGAGTCAGCAAAAAGTAAATTGATAAGAATCCATCAGCAAATCCATAGTAAATTGATAAGAATCAGTATGATTATTTCCCATCTTTTTCTCATCCATGGTAATCCAGCTACATAATTTCTGTTTTGAAACTACACCTGAATCCCAATTTGATTTTGAAAAACCAGTTAACTAAAAGGTGACCAGAGTAGGGGTGATCTTCTCATACTTTCAATCATCTAGCTGCCTAAGAGTCTGACAATCCTCAGCATTGCCTGACAATCCTCAGCATTGATGAGCAAAAATTCAGCACTTGCCCACCCCCTCCATCAGCAATGAAAAGAAACACGTGGCACAGATTGTAGTTATTGTCAATATCGATGGATAAATCTTTTTGTATCAGATTATATTCTGTTGTTGTTTTGCTTTATAAATCAAATACAGCTTTCTTACACTGCACATTCTGTATTTTTGTCTGGCAGGTATCTTTTAAAAGCATCAGGATTTCTCTGAAGGAAGAAAAATTGTTAAACCCGAACTTTACTTTAGAAAGCAAGAATGCCCTCCTAATTATTTTTTGACCTGGAAGCGCCTGTAATAGTGAGGAAGGGAAGATACTACATTTTGACTAAGTAAATAGCTAACAAATAAAGCGATGCTCTCCTAATTAGAATGGGATGGTAATTCTTTTTGATTTGCGCATTCAGTCCATCAGAAATCATTTTTAAGAGTCTCACGAAAAACTAGCTTTTTCTCTGTAAAATGTGACCGAGAAATCCAGGACAGGATCATAGCTTTGATGGGGGAGCCTAGTATACTTGCGCTGCCTGAATATCATCAAAGGGACATATTCCAAATGGATCTTATGGTAGCGAGGAACGGGCTGATTTCCTGCTATAATTTGCCTTCTTAAAAAAGGCAGAGCTGGTCAGTGCAAGTCCCACCTTAGTACGGGACAGGCGTCCGCCTGCGAAAAGTGGCGACCGGGCGGGATCACAATGGCATTTCCGCCCCGCCCCTCATTCCTTAGCAATAGATCCTGGAAGCAGACAGGCCGCTTCGATGCCGAAGGTAAATGGGCGCATTTGATAACGGATGGTGAATGTGCCTAACCATGAAGTTTAGTCGGCGTCGCTACCTTTTGCGGTATTTGTTGTGCACAGTTCAGAGTAGTCCGTAATTCCTCCTATTCCCTGTATGAAATAGTATTTGTGTGTGTGTGTGTGTTTGTTCGACCGGTCTAAAAAAAAGGAGGAGGCAAAAGCGTGTTACTACTAGTAGTAGTTGGAGTAATCTCGTTGGTTCACTTCCTCCGCTTGAAGCTGCCGTTCTCAATCTCAGAGCGGGAGAGAAGCAGCTACTGAAACGGAGGCCTAGTTCACTCTAAGCGTTCCCCACTTTTGAAGCTCCAAGTGGCACGATGACGTAAGAGGCGCGCTTGCGCTGAACGAGGCCGCTGCTGCAGCTCACTTCCGGGTTTCCCCGTCGAGGTTCGTCGGGGTCGCGCGCGGAGCTGGTGAGGTCCCTCCCCCCCGTCTGTCCCGCCAAGCCCCGCCCCCTGGTGGGGGGAAAGGAGTCGATAGGGAGACTGTTGGGGGAAGAAGGCGAAGTGGCGTTGAGGGGGCGCAAGCGGGGAAAGGTTTGGGGGGGGGGAAGGTGAGGGAAAGGCGGTTAAAAGGTAGGTGGTGGGAAGGAAACGTTGCTGGGGTCAAGGTGGTTCTTCCCTCTGTCCCGAGATACAGGGGAAGTTCGGGAGGGGGGGGGGGAAGAGATCACAGTCGGGATAGCGCTCTGCTAGTTCCTGCTCAGCCTGGTGCCCGGCAGTTGTGGTGACAGGAGAGAGAAATACTCGTTGCCTTGATTTGCCCCGATGACGACCGGCAGCTTTTCTTAGAGACGTTCCAGGAATCTTCCCTGCCTTCTCCTTAGTCCCGCTTCGCTAAGTGGAATCAGTTCATCCTCTTGAACCATTGACAAGGTCTGTGAAATTAGTGGGTGTTTTTTTTTTTTTTTTTTTTAAATTCAGGAGGATTTGTCTTCTTTCTCTCTTTCCTTCTTCAGCTTTCATAACGATATTGCTACTGAAAAAAACCACCAATAAATCAGCGTTGTCTTCATTTTTGTTCCTTAAGGTCTTGTCTATGTTTATGGTTGTGTGCTTCACTAGAATTAATTTTCTATTTATTTCCCTTGCATGTGTCCAGGTTTATCTATTTTGAGCTCAAAAGAAATTATCTAACATCTTGACTTTTCATCATCAACTGCAAATTCATTAAGTAAGTAGGTTTTTATTGGTTTCATAATATTAGATGTTTCACATTCCATCTTTATTTCATAATATCTTTTAATTCTTCTTTAAATTAATAAAGTGCTGTTGTCTGCATATCTCAAAATATTTCAACCCCTTTTTTGATTGTGTCATCTCTTCCAGTCCTGACAGTCATATAATATATTCACTGTGTAAATATGAAGATAATATATTCTCGTTCTCCATCTTGTTTAACTCTCCAAATTCAGTTTTTACAATAATCTGCTAGCTCATTTAAAAAATCTTTGTTCTAGGCTGCTGTCAACCTGCATATTTTCCACATTGGTATAATTTACACAAAGCTCTTGATATATTCAAATTAGGCAAAAACACAATAAATATTTATTTTCTTTCTATTTACAGAGAAGTAAACTTAAATACAGTGCTACAACCAGTTAATGTTCATTTATATGAGCAAGATTAAAACTCTCTTTGGGTAGTCTTTTGCTATGAGGGCAGTCTTTCTCTCTGTCCATTAAATTGGTGAGATCATTGCTGAAAGAGATCCTTCAGAAAAGCATAATGTTTATGTATACAAGTAGTCCTCTATTTACAACCATTTGTCTGTGTTTTTGTCTGCTCACAATTAGAATGGCACTGAAAAAAGTAACATGACCATTTTTCATACTTTCAACCATTACAGCATCTTCATCACATGATCAAAATTGGTAACTGGCATATATTTGTGACAGTTGCAGTGTCCTGGGGTCATGTGATCACATTTTGTGACTTTTGGCAAGCAAAGTCAATGGGGAAGCCAGATTCAGTCAACCACCAGGTTATTTACTTAACAACTGTAGTGATTCACTTAACAGCTGTGGTAAGAAAGCTCGTAAAATGGCGCAAAACTCATCTTGCTTAGGAACAGAATCATAAATCTAGGGCTACCTGTTTGTTGCCTATTGCAAGTTTGCTGACAAACAATTACCTTCAAGAACACCTTAGAGTAACACTATAGCTGCTTTGTTCTTGAGAAGCATTGTTCCCACAGGCCAGTAACCATCATTATATACCTCGATTGGAGGCTTTTATTTCACTAGTCAGTTTACAGATTAACAGAGTTGGAAGGGACCTTGTAGGTCATCTAGTCCAACCCCCCCACCTAAGCAGGAGATCCTACACCATTTCTGACAAATGACAGTCCAGTCTCTTCTTGAAAGCTTCTAGTGATGAAGCTCCCACAACTTCTGAAGGCAAGGTGTTCCATTGGTTGATTGTTCTCACTATCAGAAAATTTATCCTTATTTCCAGGTTGAATCTCTCTTTGATCAGTTTCTATCCATTAGTCTTGTGTTACTATTTCATCAGTATGCCTTGAGGAAAAGCTGTTTCTTACCAAAGAGGATTAGATCGTCGATTTAAAATCTGCAGTGCTAAAATACTTATAAAGCTGAGTGACCATAGGTGCCTTCCTCTCCTCCCAGTTACTGGATAGAAAAGTCAGGCTTCTAAGCATTTGAGGACACAGCTGCAAATGGACATAAAACATCTTGCTTCTCCCAGGTCCAATGACCTGCCCTTCCCAATAGGATGCCACAGGAATACAATATGACATGCTTCTAGTAAATTAGCCATCTCCTCCCCTATCTGCTCTATTTGTCTGGAAATGCAGTTTATAAATAAGTGGGTGCCCATTTCTAATATTTTGAAACACCTTAAGTCTTTTTTAGGCTTGATTAGGGTACAAAAACACGTACTATATAAAGAAGTTATATGTGATACTCCTACTCCAGTATTCCTACAATTTTATGCTGGATCATCTGAAATACTTTCCCACTCATTTAGGCTTTAGACGTAACTCCCAAACAGATGAAAGTTAAGGACTAAATTTGGGCAAATTCTTTGCAGTATGTTGAATCTCATACAAAAAAACCCATCTCTTTGAATTTTTAAAGCAACTCTTTCTTTTTTCCAGCCAGGGCACCAATTTTCAATTATTCCAAGTATATGTTTGCACAACTATTTTACTTTGGGTTTTTCACCAGAAAAACAATGAGGCATGTACAGGAAAGTGCTTACAAAGCAATTATATAAATCTGGAAGAAGATGCAGCTGCTTTAAAAGTTGAAGCAGAGGCAGACTTTTTATGTGCTTGAAGAATTTGCAGTGTTCTCAGAGATTTAGTGGTTGGGGCTAGAATATACAGAGAAGTTTGAAGCAAGGCCTCTGATCCTACCTTCAGTTTCCTATTGAGTCACAAGACTTGGCAGACCATTAGTGGCAGGTTTTTATCACATACTGAAACATATACTAGACAATCATGTTGTAGCTTATTATTTGTGGTTGGATTATGGTTTGATGCGCATACACGCTCAGAAAATCGGATTTAGTTTAAAAATTAAGCATCATGAATATGTTGCGAACTTAGATGTGAACACAGCCAAGTGCTCAGGAAATAAAACCCAGGTGTCATGGCTGACTTGCTATGTACCCCTACTCACAACCAGACAACCGAAATCAGGAAGGGAAGGCATTGGAATGTGAGGGAGGTTCTGGGAGGGAATTGAGAAATGCAAGTGAGCCGATTGAACCCTTGGACAGACCCAACATCAATTGAATTTGGTTTTAATTGGGTTGTTTTTAATATCTTGGGCCGAAATTATTTAATTGTTTTTTAAATTGTTTTTAAATTTTATATGCAATGTTTTATCTTGGCTGTACACCGCCCTGAGTCCCGCAGGAGAAGGGCGGTATAGAAATATAATAATAATAATAATAATAATAATAATAATAATAATAATAATAATAATAATTTCACAAACTGACTACCTACAACGCCATGACCGTGTTGCTAAAATCATTCACTGGAAATTGTGCCAGAAGTTTGGATTTGAGTACAGCAAAAACCAGTGGGAACATCAGGTTGAGAAAGTTTTAGAGAATGAGAAACTCAAGATCTTGTGGGACTTTAGGATTCAGACTGACAGGCACTTGGTCCACAACACACCTGACATAACAATAGTTGAAAAGAAAAAAGTATGGTTCATTGACATTGCAATACCTGGTGATGCACGAATTGAAGATAAGCAGCAAGAAAAAATCACAAAGTACCGGGACTTACAAATTGAAGTTGAGCGACTGTGGAAAAAGAAATCGTGTGTTGTCCCGATTGTAATTGGAGCCCTCGGAGCAATACCCAAAGGGCTACCCCGCTATTTAGAAATTCTAAATTTGCCGGACTTGAACATTTTGACACTACAAAAAACCACCTTACTCGGAACAGTTTACATCAGTTTATTAATAAGAATAAGAATAAGAATAAGAATAAAACATCCCAAGCTCAAACACTGGAAAACTCTGAGGCACTCAGATCATTCCCAAAACAAAATGAATGTAGCTAATTGGAGGACAATGAATTGAGGGAGGCCCAGGGGGAAAAGGGCGATTTTACCTAGGCTGTTTCCATGTAAAAATTTTAAAACTGGCTTTGCTACTTCTGTACCTATATGGAATTATCAGCAAAGTTAGTCTTTTGGAAAAACAATGTCCCAGGGATTTCTTTTGCTGATTAACCCAACGGTTGATACTACAATAGGGCAAGATAAGTGAAGATCCATGGCTGTGGAAATGAATGCTTAAATAGTTTGTTCCTAAATATATTTTATGCTGTTTCAGGTTTTGTTTTGTTTTGTTTTGTGTGTATATTTTTAAATGAACGAGTTACTTGTTCCATAGATCCTGAGAACATTTTAGTCACTGTGGCCATGACTTATATTGAGGCAAAATTATCCCCCACCACCCACCTCTTTAATGGGCCTTGGAAGCCATCCTATTTTAAGCAAAGAAATTATAGTATGAGCTGGGAATATGTGGATTCTGCAATCTGCTTTCATAAATTTTGTGCAAGATACAAAGGTTGAACCAGAAACTGAGTTTTTAAAAAATGGAGAAACAAAACTGCTCAATTGCCTTTTTCAATTTTTTCTCCCTTGTTTATGCCAAACTAAACTAAACTTCATTCTTTCTTAAATGCTCATTTGCATTTTGCATATGTTTTCTTTCAAATCAGAATTGTGAGGTCCCATTAAGATTTGTGATCATCAGTTGGTTAATTTTTTTCTTTCACAGAATTTCTGATTAAAATCACCCACTCTAAAAGTTTGCCAGAAAGGTAGGTTTCTGGTCAATTGCTTTTGGAAAATAAATGTTTGCTATTCATCAAAGGATATAACAATATGTGTTACTACAGCATAGCTTTTTCCTATTTTACAACAATACCTTGTATTGTTCATATAGTAGTGAATTCATTGATAAACAGTGATTATTGATAAGTATAAAATGTAAGACTATTTTTTTCCCTTTCTTTCTTAGTTTGTACTTTTAATTTTTTTAATTTTCTTTTTCTTTAAGATTAAAGATTTCTTTGCTTAAAAAAAAGATAAGTGTTCAGAAAAAAAGAGGAGAGGAGAAAGGAAGAATCATCCATGTTTAGGCTCAATTTATGACAGTACTTTTCTCTGCAGACTAGCAAGCTATTAATTACTTAGTCACTTCCCTAATAGCATTAAATGTATACAATATATAATAGAGACCTGTTCTCTCTGAGATGGAATGGGGGATACTGATGGTGAGAATTTGTTGAGAACTGTTTAGAAAGAATAAATAATATCTTTCCCATTAATTTATTCCTATTGTCTTACAAACGTGTTATTTTCTACTATTACTTTCTGTCTGAGTAAGCTATTTAAACTCAGGGGGTGGAATATACTATAATATTTCTATCCTGTAATGAATGAATGGATAGATGTTTGCACTTTTTCCTCCTGTATTACTCTCTGCTTTCACTATTGTGCATGCTTTGTGCATGCTATGCCATCAAAACACTTTTTTAAGGTAGGAAAATAATTTGACATGTTGAAGGAAACAATACAACTCAGAATTTATACAAGTATTCCATGGAAGATCTAGCTATCCATGTCTTCTAAACAGGATGGGCATAGATTCACTTCAGTGTTGGATCACTGTGCCTCTGAATATCAATTGGTATGGAACAGGAATTACTGGCATATTCTGCCTTTGAGCTTTCCTAGGAATGCTGGTCTAGGCCTCAGACCTCGTCTGTCAGAGGTCCTCTTATGTACAGTGAATGGCACTCTCTGCATCATTTTTCCCTTTTCTATATGACTGAATAGGAAATTTGGAAGTAAGTAGACCACAGTCAGTGAAGCAAATTTCCTTTAAAAATGTAATTTTTCCAGTTTAGAATTGGAAAAAATTATGCCATTTACCAATGGGTCATTATCACCAATGTGTCATGAGACACTGCCTGTATTCATGCTGTAATGCCTTCCCTAATAATCCACACCCACCTGTCATAGTTTATGTGCCCACAAATCCTACAGTTGGCATGGGAATCGCTTATTTCTATTTTTTTTTTACATAAGAGATCTTTCCAATGTCAATTGCTATGAAAGAAGAGCAAAAAGCTCTATTATATTCATGGTCTCCTTGAAGACTTTCCACTGGCGTGTACTTGGCCATTGTAGGAATCGAATGTGAGAGTAGAAGGGCCTTTCATCTGAATCATCCCAGCTTTCCTTTTGTTTCCCATGCCAAGTTAGTGTAGGAAGGGTTAAAAATATTGAATACTTTGAGAGATCTTGACATTATTTTAGAGAAGGAAAGAGGCAATTTTTCTAGAAAATATACAGTTGAATCACTGCTTTGTGTAGCAAGAAATATATCAGGAATTTTCCTCCAGAATTATTTCAGATCCTATAGAGTTTATAAAGAAAGCCAATAAGGACAGTTTAGATACAGAATGCTACATTCAGGAGTCCTCTGAATGTTGAATGCTAGTTTGTTTTTGAAAATATTTTCTTCAGACTATTGGCTGATGGTCATGGAATCTTTCGTTTCATAATAGTCTCCCTAGACATGTGATGGAGAGTAAGGTAGTTGTCACTTGCAAAGTTTAGAATGTTTATCAAACTCTTTACTCTGTGGCTGTCAACATTGTCCAGAGTGCTATGAAGCTATGAGCAACAACAACAACAGCTATCAATCAACAGTCACTGCTATTTCCCATCATAGGTTCATTTCTGAAGAAAACAAATACAAGATCTTTTCAGTTAGTAGGTACTTCTGAAGTTTTTACTGTCTGAAGTCTGAAATGGGTAAGCGAGAATATTGGAATAGAGAAGGTTCTAAATCAATTGAAGAATGTCAAATTATTTAGTTAGCTTGGAATCTCTGTGGATAAGGAGACAGTGAAACTATAGTTCATATCCTGTTGTATTGCATCTTCTATAAGGACTCACAGTCTCAATTTGTAACATCTTACCTAATAAAATATTGGGGAAATGCTGATCTTTTTTACATATGACTACTATTATCAGAGCAGTATGAAGTAGTTTCTCTGAATGTGGCCAAATTCTGCTATGTTGTAAAATTAGGTAAATTTTAACTGCCCACTGTTAATCCACCACCAATTGCAATATATTAGTCTGTCCTTTTATTTTTTATTATTTTTATTACAATGCTTTTATTTACTAGTCTGTGATCATAATAAAGATTGATTAATTATAAATCTAAGTCTATATAAATCTAGGTAGATTCTAAGATATGTGTCACTGTTCTAGGCTTGGGTGACCTTGGGACTTTTATGATAATTATTTTACCACAGAAAGGGAACAGGAAACAAGCGGTGAATTAGTACACAAGGGCCAAAAAGTATTAACAATAGAAGGAAAATATAACAAGATCAGAGTGAAAAGGAGAAAAAGGAACGTTCAGAACGAGAAAGAGCAATAGCAAAAGAACCCAGAGAAGTAAGAGCAACCAGGACTATAAGTACCGTAAAATGATCTCTAGAAGTCTGTTTAAAATATGTATCATGCAAAAATAAAAGATCATTAAAAAGAAAGAACAAATAAAGGAAAATATTTGTAGCTCAGGTTTGACATGAGGGGTCCTTGGTGCTCCCTGAGCTTGCTTGTTTTATTACCCAAACAAGGTAATTGTCGGTGCTAGCAAGGAATGGGGCATGCTCTTAGTTTATATTCTAGTGGCTTTTCCTGTCATTGTTGGGGGTGTCTGGTCTTAGAGGTTCTTTGGTTGGGCTGTTTGCTGTTGGCTTCTTTGGCAATTTCTTGATTGGAGTATTGTTTATTTGATTGTTGGTCTGATGTTAACCTTGGAGATAATCTGTGCTGCTCTGGTGTTGATTGCTGGTGGAGAGGTGTTTTGGTCTTTTTGTTCTTTTTTGGACTGGGCGATAGTCTTTTTTGCATAGTCTATAGGTATTGTTAATGTTGTTTCTATTGATGGCTGATTTGTCAGAGTGCCAGGCTTCTAGAAATTCCCTGGCATTTTTGTACTTAGGTTTTGTTTTTGGGGGATGTCTTATTTTATGGCTGCCCACCCACTCCCTCCTATCATCTGCTTGCCCACAGCCACAATGGCTTACAGGGTTTCCCAGGGCAGACACATTTTCACCCGGACTGAGAAATGATGGAGACTGAAAGCTTCATCTGCTTGCAAATGGGGCACTTTGAAACGGAGCGATTAGCTTCATTTCAAAGCACCCCATTTGCAAGCAGAGGAAACTTTGTCTCCCTCTGGGCAAAAACTGTTTAGGCGTGTATGGGGCGTTTGGAAGTGATTTGCTCCATTCCCAAGCACCCCATAGGCGCCCAAACACTTTTCGCCTGGATGGAGAAATGAAAGAGACTGGAAGCTTCGTCTGCTTGCAAATGGGGCGCTTTGAAATGGAGCAAAGTGCTCCTTTTGCAAGCAGAGAAAGCTTCCAGTCTCCTTTTGGGCAAAAAGTGCATGGCAGAGCCAGACGGAAGGAGAGACATGGGGGGAGGCAGGCAATCCTAACGAACCATCCACTCTGTCCCACCATCTCTTGGCTTGCCCACAGCTCCGCCAGGGCAGGCACTCACACAGGACATCAGGATCACCTGCCTTCCCCCCTGCCTCTGCCTGCTGGCAGTGCCACCATATAAGCCTCGCACGAGCCTCCTGTGAGGCAGGCAGCCGCACAGCATGTCCGGATAGTTTCTCTCTCTCCCCCCCCCACCGCCTTTCCCTCCTTGCTCGGACCTATCTGCGCTGCGCCAAGGGGCCAACAGGCTGTGGCTGCTGCTGGACTCCGTCGGCCCCCACACGCTTGCTGCCTCTTGTGCTGTCTACAACCATCCTCGATCTTATTTTTGGGTTAGGGCTTATATTAGGCCCACCCCCCAAAAAATCAGGCTAGGGCTTATTTTGGGGTGGGTGGGTCTTATTTTTGGGGAAACACGGCAGGTATTTGTTGATGCATTCTGCCAGTCTTCTGCCTGATTGTCCTATTTGGTGGTTGTTGCAGTCCTTACATTGTATGTTGTAGATGACTCCTGTTTTTATTTCTGGGGTTGTTGGGTTTTTTGGTCTGCTTAGGATGTTTTGAAGGGCTTTAGTTGGCTTGTGTGCTATGCTGATTCCATGTGGTTATAGTAGTCTGTTGGTGATCTGTGAGATACTTTTGATGTATGGCAGTGTAATTCTTTGTGTATAAGGTTTTGTGTTGGTTGTATTGGGTTGAATGGCCAGGCACTTTTTGATAAAGTTGCATGGATATCCATTTTGTTGGAATATGTTGTATGTTGTATGAATATGCTCTATTTTCTTTTTCTGCTGTTCCCGGTTGCTACACTGTGTGTAGCACAGTGTAGCATAAAGTCATTAAGCAGCTTCTCTTGTGGGAAGTTAGGTTGTTGCTTTGGTAGTGGAGCACCTGGTTAGTATGGGTAGTTTTTCTGTATACTTGCATTTCTAGTTTGCCCTTGTGGTCTCTGCTGATCAGGATGTCAAAGAAGAATAGCAAGTTGTTGTTTTCTTCTTTGCTAGTAAACTATATTCCTTTAAAAGTGTTATTGCTGGTTCTGTGGGTGTTCTCTAATTGGTCGTTTTTTATTATGGTGAAGGTGCCATCTTCATATCTGATCCATATTTTTGGTTGTATTTCTGGAAGTGCTATGGCTTCTAGACGTTGCATGACAACCTCCGCTATAAATCCTAATGTTACTAGTTTGGGTAATGAAACATCTTCAAGAAAACAAGCAAGTTCAGACACAACCAAAAACCTCTCAAAAAAGGACCGCAACATTCAATTTATCACTGGGA